CTAGTCCTTATATCAAAGGTCGCACGTGGAATGACGCTGGGGAAACATGTTAAAAATGACTTTTATTTTTAATATTTACTCAAGAGTTACTGTAATATGCTGGGAGGACATGTNGGATAAATTAGTCCTCAAATTTCACCATTTTACTGTTGAAATTGTGCTTTCATTTGTTAGTTGTACTTTAAAATGCTTTACATTAGTGATCACTCATTATTTTACATGGCCACTGTGGTGAAATGACTCTTAATAACATTGGTTTATGCCATTCTTTCTGCAGGGAATGCTTTCGGTGGCTTTTTTGACTGGATATTGATGACCCAATCTGGCAACCAACCGAGTAGCTGAGCACTGGATATTTTATTTCTCTGAAAAACAGGAAAATACAGGTTTGTGCGCATTTTATTTAAGGGATATAATATGTACTATGCTGGAAATGGTTTGTTTTATAAAGATATATGTCATAAGTGTCCTGCAAGGAAGAAAAAAGATGTTTTATTATGATTGTTTTAAGATGCTAAATGTATAGTCCATATATTAAATCTGCACTGTTTGTTCATGGACAGGTTTCTGAGTCAAACACTCGAGCCCAGGACACCGGGTCAAGCAAACACGCTGGAAACTGGACTATATCAGTGGTTCTCGAAGTCGGGGGTCGTCTGGTGATTTCCAAAAATCTATTTATTTTTATTAAACCATAAGAATCACCATGCTTTATCCATAACCTCCTGAAGAGAGAAAAAAAAATCGCTTATAGTTACTGTATTGTAGCTTATAGTTACTAGTTCTGTTGGATTGCGAGCTCTAGGGTAATTACATTATATTAAAGACACGGCAACAGCGTCAGATGAAGCAGATTGATTTTATAACACCAGGGTAACATTTCTGGCACATTTACAGCACTGACATACATTAAAGAAAACTAAATGAAGAGTAGACTTTGGTCTATTGGTGTGCGAGCATGCAGGGTTTCTGTGTTTATAACCACCTCAGAGGATACTGGGGCTCGCGAGTCACTGGCATTGTCATTTTGGGGGTCGCGAGCTGAAAAGTTTGTGAACTCCCGGACTCTGAAAAACCTCTGAATGCCATCTGAAATGTTCTCCTGAAATGAGTATTTCCTCATCCTCCTGTGTTTATGTTCAGTTATTTCTCTTGAAAGTCAATGAAAAGACCTTATTCATCACTATAAAGGTCAAATCGCTGAGCCGACACACACGAGTCTGAGAACAATGCTAATGCTAGGAGAAAATATCAAGTGGCTTTTAGAGGATTGTGCATCTGAACTCTTCACATATTGAATTATTTTCCATCTAAAATGGCTGTTAATTGAATGTAACGCCTTTATACATGTTTAAACTCTAGCTGCGTCCCAAATCGCATACTTATGCACTATTCTACGCCATTTTGTAGTATTAATAGTGTAAGTAGTGTGTTCACACTGAAAACTCTAAAAATAATAAGTGCACTTTAATTACCCGGATGATGCACTCATTCAGCCGCTAAAGTGAAGTGTGTAATGATGGACACTTCACGCACTCAACGACCACAGGTTTGCTTACGTAGCGGAAGGGGCGGAGCTATCGGACGCACATGTTGAATGACTTTATTTATTTTGGATGGTGAAAGCAAAATTCTTCTACGAGAGTGATTATAGCACCTCCCGATGGTGAATGCGGTTATACTCACGGCAGGTATTATTTGATAATTCTGTTGTTTATTTCACTGATTTGGCGACCGTCAAACGTCATCAGGGAAACGGTTTGAATTTCCGCTTAGTAAAAAAACATTAGTGTGCCATTTGGGACAACACTACATACATATACTATCCTGTTGAGTGGGTAAGTGCATAAGTACATAGTGCATGAGTGCATAGTGTATAGTGTGCCATTTGGGACGCAGCTGCTGTCTTGTTTACGCTGTACCTATTGGAAATAAAGATAACACGTAAATAATGATGTTCAAGTTTATTTGTGAGCTAAAAAAGCGGGCTTTTATTGTTTAATATTGTTTATATGCCTTGCTCATAGTAGAGGAACTAAATAAAATCAAAAATCCAGCTCGATAACATCACAGCACTGCGTAAAACTCATTCTGCTTGTGATTAAATGCACTTCTAAAAGCCAGCGCTGTGTGTGTTATAGCTACTATTAAATATGCACCAGCTTTATTTAGATATTTATTTATTCATTTGCATGCACAGCCTGAATTATTGAAGAGTTTACTGAGTATATGACATTAAGCGTGAGGATGCAGGCGGATCTAACTTGTAACTTTATCCGTGAGCCTCTCTCTCTCTCTGTATGTGTGTGTGTGTGTGTGTGTGTGTGTTGGAGGTGAGTAACGAGATTTGTGTTAATACAGTAAACTGAGAGCAAACAGCAGAACTGCACAAGGTCGGAGATCTGGACTCAGAGCCGGTAATCTGGTTAGCAGAGGGGATCGCCCTGCTTTATTTCTGCTTTCCTTCACGTCACGGCACTTTCCACGAAAAACACTAGAGAGTCGAGCGGCGGGGATTAACCCAAAAACCCTGCCATTAGCCTACATTCCTAGCTAGACAGAGGTGATTTAGGCTGTATATTAAAGCTGCTGAATGTCAGTGTTTGACTCTTCTAAAGCATATAAGCAGCATCATATGTGTGGAGATATTCAGACACATGCTCAGTGAACGTGCTGGTTTATCTGGAAAACACTGCTGAAGTCAGATATTCTGCTGGGAACATGTGTGTTATGTGCTGGAACGTCTGCCTTTGTTTTGGTCATTTAACCCGCCCAATGCCACTTCAGCCAATCATATTTCAGCACCGCGGGTTGCCAGATGGTTAAAAACAGCGCATTTCATTCATTCATTTATTCAGTCAGTGATGAAGGCTCTCTAAGTATGTGTCCGTGACTGAAATGTGACCTCTGGTGGACAGTAGCAGACTCTGAAATGAGATGCAGATTCAGAGTTCCACATGAGGTTATTAATTAGCAAATAATATTAATATTACGTTTCCCAGAGATGGGTTGCAGCTGGTAGGGCATCTGCTGCGTAAAAACGTGCAGGATAAGTTGGCGGGTCATTCCGCTGTGGTGACCCTGGATTAATAAAGGGACTAAGCCGACAAGAAAATGAATGAATATTATGAGTGTAAACATTATGTGAGCAAGTTACAGTGTCCTAACAACACGCTACGTGACGAGATTGTAAATGACCTATTTTTTTATTTATTTTGTAGGGGAGCGTAATAGGTTTGAATGGTGCTCGAATGTATTACAGTGGATTTTATTTTGAAATTGTATGCTTCATACTGACGGACTTTTATTATGAAACTTACCTCCCTGCGTTAGTAGTTCCGGTAAAAGGTTCACGCAAAAGTGCGCCAAAGAGCGGATGGAGATCGCTACTTTTCTGAAGACAGCAAGTCTCATTCAAGTGTGCCGCAAGCCTACGTTTGAGTGAAGGTTTCGGCCGTTAGATCGCCCCCTGGGGGCTGGCTGCAGTACAAGTCATAAAGCCCGCCTCCTCCGTGTTAATGAAGGAGACTTGAGCCCAAATAAAAAAAAATATTACACTTGCAATAAAATGTCCCGAAAGATGGTTCTGGTGGATTAAGGCACTGGTTATTGTGCTGAAATAGGTGCAGATCTTCATTTGTGTAAACAGTTTGTTTTTAGCAGTAATTTAATGCTGGGCGTGTCATCGTGATTGACAGCTGTGATTGACAGTTTCTCAAAGCGCGGCGTCTGAGCTTCGGCAGGAGACTGAAATGTTATTATTCGATTTCTGTCTTATTTTACCATGACAAGATGAGTTCAGCAGTAAACTATAGTTTCTGACATACATGATCCTGGTGGAACACTGTTTATTCGCTAAGTTCAGGGCTTTTTTCGGGCTTTATTAGTTTGCTGATACACGCCTAACCACCCAGATAGCAAAACACAGTTCCGGCTAGATTCTCGCCTGCCGGAGACTTATCTCTTAGAGCTCAGACTGACTAATGTTACCTCTGCTGGACCTACTCCGGATGCCTGGACTCACTGCCCGATTCCAGTCCGAGTCAATCGAGCCAGATGCGGCGGCCGAGCGAGCAGGCGCTGCCGCATGCGAACCGGAATCAGCCCGCGACGCCGCGAGTAAGTTATGCGCTGCGGCCTGGAGCTGGCGCGATTGAATATATAAAACCCTCATATTTGTTAACGTTATTACATCCATTTGTGTTGATATGACAGCAAACGCATGCTGAGAAGTTCGGGGGGCGTAGTTGATTTTACATAAAGCGTTTGATTGGAAGCTCGACTCTGCTCATTTTCGCGGCTCCTCCTCTGGCTCCATCAGACAGTCCTTCTGCGCATGTCAAGGCTCCAATTTCAGCAGTCTTTTGCGACAGTTTGTGCCCGTCAAGCAGGCGTTTTGCCCTCAAGGCGTTCAATGGGAAAAAGGGCTGTCGCGTCGTCCATATTTTTTACAGTCATTGGTCTCATTACATGAGAAAAGGTTCAATATTGTATGCTTTAGCACTCTCCGAAGAGGCACAAGGTTAGTGTTTTCATAATACTGTATATATTGTGTGTTTTAGCCTTGTGTGGAAGCATTTAGAATATAATAGTAAGCAGCTAAGTTTGCATTTAAGCTAATTCATGCACTATTGTATTAATGTATTTTTGTTGTATTCTGTTTAGCTCTTACGTTGGTGTTTGATTCAATAAATCAATAAAACCATCAGTTAAATCTTGACCATCAATCGGGGAGGACGCTACGAGATACACACTGTAAAGCAGTTTGGCCTTTCAGAGGCACAGAATAGTGCGCTCACTGCACTCCAGTGAAATGGTGAGGTTTATAATCTAATGCAGTGGTTCTCAACTGGTTTGGCCATGGGACCCACATTTCTATATGGTCATCAAGCCCAAATGTTTAGGAACTATCATATAGTTTTAGGTATTATAATTCATTTGTATTTATTTGTAAACCTGCACAAGTAGTGACAGGTAAATGATAGGATATTCACCAAGACTTACAAATAAACTATATTTTATTGCTGTCATTTTAAAAAAAGGTATCAAGCTATAGAAATATTACAAAGTAACAATGACAAAGACTGTAAACAGAGGTTCGGGCATAGGCGCCCCGTCCTGGAGGGCCGGAGTCCTGCATATTTTAGTTCCAACCCCAATTAAACACACCTGAACCAGCTAATCAGGCTCTGTCTAGGTAAATAAAGGCTGTTTCTCAATATGCGTTATTTGTTGGTTGATTGATTGATTGATTGGTTGATTGATTGATTGATTTGATTGATTGATTGATTGATTGATTGATTGATTGATTGATTGATTGATTGATTGGTTGATTTGATTGGTTGATTGATTGATTTGATTGGCTGATTGATTAATCAATTAATTTGTTGGTTGATTGATTGATTGGTTGGTTGATTGACTGATTTAATTGATTTGATTTATTTGATTGATTGATTGATTGATTGATTTGATTGATTGATTGATTAATTTGATTGATTGATTGATTGATTGATTGATTTGATTGGTTGGTTGATTGATTGATTTGATTGATTGATTGATTGATTGATTGATTGATTGATTGATTAATTGATTAATTTGTTGGTTGATTGATTGATTTGATTGATTGATTGATTGATTGATTTGATTGGTTGGTTGATTGATTGATTTGATTGATTGATTGATTGATTAATTGATTGATTTGTTGGTTGATTGATTGATTGGTTGATTGATTGATTTGATTGATTGATTGATTTGATTGATTTATTTGATTGATTGATTGATTTGATTGATTGATTTATTGACTGGTTGATTGATTGGTTGATTGATTGATTGATTTGATTAATTTATTTGATTGATTGTTTGATTGACTGGTTGATTGATTGGTTGATTGATTGATTAATTGATTGATTTGTTGGTTGATTGATTGATTGGTTGATTGATTGATTTGATTGATTGATTTATTTGATTGATTGATTGATTGACTGGTTGATTGATTGGTTGATTGATTGATTGATTTGATTGATTTATTTGATTGATTGATTGATTGACTGGTTGATTGATTGGTTGATTGATTGATTTGATTATTTGATTGATTGATTGATTGATTGATTGATTGATTTGATTGATTGATTGACTGGTTGATTGATTGGTTGATTGATTGATTGATTGATTTGATTGATTGGTTTACCTGATTTAAAGGATGGTTCACGCACATCCAAAGCTTTTATGCAAGCTTTGGATATTTAAATCAGGTTTATTTCATCTTCTAAATGTGAAGTCAGTTTTGGAGACATTAGATTTTAGATATCCTTAAAGCACACTGATCTAACAAGCTTTACTTCATTTTTGAGCGCAGGTCAAACTCAGTTCCTAAAGGGCCGCAGCTCTGCACAGTTTAGTTCCAGCCCTAATTAAACACACCTGATCAAACTAATTGAGTCCTTCAGGCTGGTTTGAAATCTACAGGTAAGTGTGTTGGAGCAGGGTTGGAACTAAACTGTGCAGGGCTTCAGCCCTCCAGGAATTGAGTTTGACACCCCTGTTTTAGAGGATCTTTCAAATGACGTGTGCATGCATTATTGCCTCATGTGTTTGTTTGTGTATGTGTGTTCAGGATGGCTGTATTGATTTCATGGAGTATGTGGCAGCTCTGAGTCTGGTCCTGAAAGGCGGTGTTCAGCAGAAGCTGCGCTGGTATTTCAAGCTCTTCGATATGGACGGCAGCGGCTGTATCGACAAGGACGAACTGCTGCTCATCTTCAAGGTATCCTGTTAAAGCAGGAGTTCCTACGGAAAAATGTAAACTCTGTCATCATTTGCTATATATTTCCTTCACTTGCTCTAAACCTGTTTGAGTTTCTTTCTTCTGTTGAACATAAAGGAAGATATATTGAGAAAGCTGAAAGCCTGTAACCACTGACTTGCATAGTATTTATTTCTCCTTATGTGGATGTCAATGGTTACAGTTTCCTTGAAATATCTTCATTTGTGTTCAACAGACGCTTATAAAGGTTTATAACCAACTGAGGGAGAGTAAATAGTGTGTACATTAAAAATGTGTGGGTGAACTGACCCTTTAAACTCAGTGGCGTCTGTGCGGCTCTCTGGCGCCATCTGCCGGTCCCATCGCGTTTCATTATCAAGCCTATTATTCATTAAAGCAAAATAAAAAAAAATGAAATGATCCATTGAAGCTTTATATTAATAATAAGATTATAAAAATAAAAAATGACTTTTTGATATTGTTTTTGTTAGCAAGATTATAATGTGAAACGTATTCGTTGGATGTCTTCAGCAACAGTGGTGAGGGCTTAAATCAGGGTTGAAATTTAAAAAATATTTAAATATTAAATATTTAATAAAAATATTAACAAACATTTTGTTCTGATTCTTGATTCCAACATGAAAAAGTAGTTTATAGTAATTTAGTGTCTATAGTGGTTTTGAACTATATCATACTGTATTATAGATAATAGTATTTATAAGTCTTTATTAACAATT